TGCAACAAGGGGGTTGGTAGGATAGAGGCCAGCAGTGCTCTGCCCTGATGCCAGCTCTTCTGCTGGGGGGACCGGTGCAGAATCCTGCCCGGTAGAAAGGGGAATGTGAGGGCAGAGGCCAGCGGTGCTCTGCCCAGGTGCCACCTCTTCAGCTGTGAGTTAGGAGTTAGCTGGGGAGGGGAGAAATTGCTTACCTCCTCCTCCTGGTACTCCTGCTGCCACTGGGGAGAGAGACCGGTTGTCTCATTTCCCTGTGAGATGCACTGCCGCTGGGGAGGGAGGTCGATGCCCTCCTCTTCCTGTGGGACATTCTGCTGCTGGGGAGAGAGACCGGTTGTCTCCTCTCCCTCGAAGGTACACTGCCGCTGGTAGGGAGGTCGCTGCTCTCCTATCCCTGTAGAACACACTTTGTTTGGGGATCTGGGTCAGCCTCCCAGCATCCCTGTAGGGCCAGTAGAGAGATCTCAGTCCCATCTATACCTGCCTGCTGTGGGTCCTCCCAGGACCAGTCTATGAGGTCCGCTACCTCGGGTACCTCTGGTTGCTGCTGGGGAAGGAGACTGGTTGTCTCTTCCCTCTGCACGGTGCACTGCTGCTGGGGAGGGAGGTCGCTGCTCTCCTCTCCTTTTAACTCGGTCTGCCGCTGGGGAGGGAGGCCGATGCTCTCCTCTCCCTTGGGGTTGGGGATCTGGGCCAACTGCCTAGCATCCCTGTAGGACCGGTAGAGAGACCTCGGTCCCATCTCCTCCCATCTCCTCCCAGTAAACTTCTATGATATCCTTCCAGCTTAAGGGCTCTAGGCCTGGATCTGCCATTCTGCTCTCCTGGGGTACCTCTGGTTGCTGTTGGGGAAGGAGACCGCTTGTCTCTTCCCTCTGCACGGTGCACTGCCGCTGGGTTGGGGCGTCGATGCTCTCCTCTCCTTGTAACTCGGTCTGCCACTGGGGTAAAGACTGGCTGTCCATATCCCCAAACTCCACAGCTTGCACTCAAATTCCCATGCTGCTTAATTTTCAGCACTCAACTGTTGCATTACTAGGTGGACCACCTTGTCCGAAGGGTCTGGGCAATACCAGACCAGCCGCCTCTTTACCTCTTTAATGTAAGCGTCTTTTAAATATAGTCTCCTCCTTTACTGTGTTGATTCCCTTTATGAATTTAAAAATTTCTATCATATCCCCCGTGTCTGGTCTTTCCTCCATGCTGTACACGTTAAGTTCCTTTAACCTTTCCTTGTAAGTTTTATCCTGCAATCCATGAACCAGTTTAGTAGCCCTTCTCTGAACTCTCTCTAAAGTATCAATGTTCTTCTGGAGATACGGTCTCCAGTACTGCGTAGATGTGATGAGACCAATCTCGACACTGTTCATTGAAGGAGCCTGGTTGCCCACCTGCTGCCTTTAGACCATGGCCCCATGTTGAAACGCTTGATTTTCCCCTGCAAAGACACGAAAGCCGGGTCATTCGGTGCTTGCCCTGTTTGAGCGGTGATACCCCAGATAGCTATGCCATGGAGTCCATTCGTATAATGAAAGACTATGGGAAAGACTTTGGCTCCATGGCATTTGAACTGTATGTGTGTAGTCTGAGCGTCATTCAGTAATAATGTGCGCTCAGACCTAAGCTATCTGGGCATATGTTGCATGTCTGTATTGTATGTCATAAATGTAACCTTGTGTATTTTATTGTATTTTACTGTCTTTTTACTGCCATGTGCTTAATGGAGTTTTGGCTCTGTCCTTGGAGATAATTGGATTACTTCCCAATTATCTCCAGGATAGAAGACTCTGTGGAACTGGTTTTGGGCAGAAAAGCCATGCTTCCTTTGGTCACAAAGGACTACGATCTATCTTTTGAACCACTGGACCAATTTGGATGATTTTGACATATGTTTATATTTGGAGTATGCTGATTCTGTAAATGTAAGTTTATGTGAATGTGATGCATACTTTTCAAGTTATGAATAATGTGGAAAAACTGTATTTCTCTGCCGGTGATAATTACATTACCCATTGTGTAAGGTAATTGTATCACAGGCAGAGGGGAGGATTTTTTTGTGGGAGTGTCTGAGTGTATTGTATGTGTTTATTGGTTGTTTTCCAAAACCCTGTGGGTGGTACTAATGTGTATATAAGAACAATAAACCCACAGCTCTGACTGTTCACAGCTTGACCCTCAACACGGAGCCTTGTCTCGTTCTTGGGGGGATTTATTGTATGCTGTTCCAGTTTGACTGCTAGGAGTGTAAACCTATTCGTATGGTTTTTCCTATTCGGCTGTTTACAGTATTCGTATGTTTGAGAGCATATGCTTCTCCGGTTCGGTGGATTGGTGTCTACAGTAGCTGCCTGTATCTCTGGAAGGGGAAGATCTCCTAAATGGCTTTTAACCTCTTTTATGCCTGGGGGTGCCGTTACAGTACAATACTCCAAGTGAGGTCTCACCAGTGTTCTGTACAATGGCATGAGCACTTCCCTCTTTCTTCTGCTAATACCGCTCCCTATACAACCAACCATTCTGCTAACATTTCCTGCTGCTCTATTACATTGTCTGCCTACCTTTAAGTCAGCAGAAATAATCACCCCTAGATCCCTTTCCTCAGATGTTGAGGTTAGGACTCTATCAAATATTCTGTACTCTGCCCTTGGGTTTTTCACGTTCAAGATGCATTATCTTGCACTTATCCACATTAAATGTCAGTTGCCATTTTTCTAGTTTACCTAAATCATTTGCAATTTGGCTTATCCCGCCTGGAACATCAAGCCTGTTACATATCTAAGTATCATCAGCAAAAAGGCATACCTTACCATCAAGACCTTCTGCAATATCACTAATAAAAACATTAAAGAGAATGGGTGCAAGTACAGATCCCTGAGGTACCCCACTGGTGACAAGCCAATGCTTCGAATAATGTGGCCTAGTTATCAATAAGCAAATGCTTACAATTACTAAACACATGAACTACAGTATTTTCCATAGTGGACCACCAATATTCCTTTTCAGGAGTTAGAAGCATATTACCTCTATCTATATGAGCTTGTCCTAGCCAGGAATAGGCTTTTATAAGGGCATTATTGTTATTACAGGAAGAACAATAGAGTTGAGCGAACCTGAACTGTAAAGTTCAGGTTCGTACCGAACATTATGGTTTTTGGACCCCGAACACGGACATATCAGTGTATGTTCAGCTTGGAGTTCGGTGTTCGGTGATTTAATGGCGCGTTTTGAAAGGCTGCAGGGTAGCCAATCAACAAGTGTTTGCCTCGTGTGCCCTTAGAAGCCATCACAGCCATTCCTACTAATGGCATGGCTGTGATCGGCCAGTGCAGCATGTGACCCAGCCTCTATATATAAGCTGGAGTCACGTAGCACCACACGCACATGAGGTCTTATTAGTGTAGGGAGAGGATGCTGCAGATGTGAGGGACAAATTAGGAAAGAATTCTGGTGCTGAATCTGCAAACTACAGCGATTATTTTTGTGGGTGCTATAATACTATATGTTTGTACCCTGCCCTGAGCCAGTGCCACAGCGAGTGCAGTGCACTTGCATCTGCATGTGTGCCAGGCACGTTACTTTAATCCTGTTCTGGTAGCTCAGTGGGCAACATCTAAGCATTTTTAAGTGTGTGCACTTCATACCTGAGAGTCAAATAGAACTGTCAAATACTGCTGTGACATAGCAGTTTTAAAAATTCACATTTTTTGGGTGCTAAATAGCACATTTGCGGCCTGCGGTGCACTTCATATCTGAGAGTCAAATAGAACCTTCAAATACTGCTGTGACATAGCAGTTATAAAAATGCAAATTGTTTTGGTGCTAAATAGTACATTTGCGGCCTGCACTTCATATCTTAGAGTCAAATAGAACCGTCAAATACTGTGGTTACAGTTTTAAAAATTCTAATTTTTAGGGATGCTAAATAGTACATTTGGGGTGTGCACTTCATATTTGGTGTATGTGTGCAACACTGGCTAGTTACCGCTTCTCAAGAAAGTCTAAAGACTTTTTAAAAAAGTGAAAAATAAGTGTTATTGTGATCGCTTCATATACAGAAGCATTAATATACATTTCTATATTATGTAAAGACACAACTACAAAGTTAAAAACCATACACCAAAACAACGTGCCAGACAATCTACCTGTGCATGTCTAGTGTGATACAATAAGTCTACATCTTAAAAATGCAATAACCCACAGGAGATGGGCGAGAATTGCTTTTTGCAAATGGAACTTTGATTCGAATTTACTACATCGGTCACTTGTAATATTGTTTCACACCTACAACACTTGTTAAATAGATGTAAGTGATAGAAAACAGACTGATATTTTCTACACTAGAAACTACTAGATAACAAGCTGCTATATTTAAATCAGTGATCAATAGCCAAGAAGTACTTACAATATTGTAATTCTGGGGCAATACCCTCACAAGTCAAACTGAGAGGTCAGTTTATAGGGGAAACTGTTGTCTGGATACAATTCTAAAAACAATTTCCATATGTCCTTTGCAGACTTTACATGCTGGAGAAAAACACAGGTGCCAACTGCTGTGGCTTTTTGCAGTGTGCATACCGGCAAGGAGGGCAGGGTTGAGGAGTGGGTGGAAGATGATGTGGATGGAATGAAGGTCATGCGAGTGAAGTGTGCAGTTTGGAGGAAGAGGCGGTGGTTGCAAAGAGACACCAGCACAGCAAGAGGGAACAGGGTTCAAAAGCGGAGCAGCCGTTCCCTAGCGCTCGTCGGCATGTATTAGCTATAGAATTACCACAGTTATCCAAGTAACAGATGGAGGGATCAAAGGAACCATAACTGACTGAATGAGCCATTCGCAGTTTTACTGTAGCAGCTGTGCGTGCTTTCGGCATTCTCACCCTGCTGCTGCTCGCCTGTCTGCGATGCAGCATAACTTCGGCCTTCCTGCTCACCGCCTCATATGCGATGTGCCCACAAGGTGGAACTCCACCTTGCACATGCTGGAGAGACTGTGTGAGCAGCAGCAGGCGATAGTGGAGTTTCAGCTGCAGCATGCACGGGTCAGTTGCTCTACACCAGACTTGCCCACCAATAGATCCTCGTTAAAGGATTTGAAGTGTACTCATTCCAATTACAGGGCCTGGATTAGTCCTGTATCGATATTTATCATCACTACCTCCCCGCGTTGGGAGTGGGTCATTTGCGCACTTGCTGCCTTCCTTTGATGTGGTAGCCGTTTCTCAGGCTCCCTCTCCAGTTGGGAGTGGGTCATTTGCGCACTAGCTGCCTTCCTTTGATATGGTAGCCGTTTCTCAGGCTCCCTCTCCAGAATCGAACCCTGATTCCCCGTTACCTGTGGTCACCATGGTAGGCGCAGAAAGTAACATCGAAATTTGATAGGACAGGCATCCGTATGAGTCTTTGCCGCCACGGTCACCGCCTCCTCAACCTCCTACTCCACATCCACCTCCTCCTCCTAGAGCAGGGTGCAAAAGCAGAGCAGCCATCCCCTATACAGTACACCTGCTACTGCCCACCGCACCCAGGGACCTGGCACACCAAAGCCAGCTCCAAGGAGTTCCCTGGCATGGCAGTTCAAATGAGGAGAACCCAGTCATTTCCTGTGGCACCTCCCGATAGGCAAACAGGAGATGGGGCAGGAATCTCTCTCAATCCTTATGAGTCGCCGCAAAGGTATGGCGCATTTGCTTCAACGTACCGTTGAAGCGCTCACACAGGCTATTGGTCTGGGGGTGGTAAGGGGATTTCAGGATTGGTTTAATGTGCACAATCTCCACAGTCGGTAGGTCATTTCGGCAGTAAACTGGGTACCGTGGTCTGAGAGAATCTCCCAGGGAAAACCCATCTGGGAGAACACTCGCATCAAGGCTTCAGCCCCAGTCTCGGCCCGAATACTGCTCAGGGTACCGAGTCGCGTAGTCCATGATGGTCAGAAGGTACTTCTTCCTAGAGGGAATAGGCTTGGCTAGGGGACCTATAATGTCGACAGCTACTCTGCCAAATGGATCTTCACTAATAGGTAGGGGATGGAGGGGTCCCTTCTTTTCCCCACTCTCTGGCAGACATCTGGCAGTACTGCCTCAGATCCTAAGAGATGCCTGGCCAGAAGAAGCTTTGGGTGAGCCGAGACGCTGTCCGGCTCCTGCCCAAATGCCCTGCCAAAGGTAGCTTCAGCAGCTCATACCAATACTTCTTGGGTCTGGGGCTGGCGGTCTCTCACCAGCCGTGTCGTTAGGGAGCCCATTGAAAAAGTGCTCTAGCATGAAGAGCTGGGTGATCTCCTCCGGGAACTTGGCTTGATGGGAGTAGAGCCAGTTCCGGGTGGCCCTTGTGATGCAGAGCCACTCAGCATAGGAGTCCCTCTCCCCTTTCCGGGTCTCCCTAAACTTTCGGCGGTATTGCTCGGGGGTGACCGCATACCGGGCCAGGAGGATTTGTGTAATAAAAGGATAGTCTCTGATATGCTCTTCTGGTACAGCCCGGTAAATATACGCTGCCTTCCCCACTAGTTTGCTGGCCAGGATGGTGACCCAGTCGCTGGGATCCACGTCTTGGAGTAGGCACTGGCGCTCAAAGTTTCAGCTGCAGCACGCACGGGTCAGTCGCTCTGTGGAACAGCACCACTTCACCACCAATGAGTGGGCCTCCATGCGAGATCTGTGTGCCATGTTGCGCTGTTTCGAGTACTCCACCAACATGGCCAGTGCCACTGACACCGTTCTCAGCCGTACTATCCTGCTTCTACGTCTCCTTGAAAAACGCTTTGGGTGATGATGGAAGAGGGTGTGGCACAGGAGGAAGAGGGGTCATTTCCACGATTATCAGGCTAGTCATTCACAAGTGTCTCGGAGGGTGTGTTCCTGCACCAGCAAAGGCCAGGTGGGTTCCAATTGGCTTGGAGGGTGGGTTCCTGTCCAGCATCTCCACACTGTCCCACGGAAGCGTTCAGCTGTCCATCTCCCAAACACTGGAGAGAAATAGGAAGTACCCCCCTACCCACCCACGATCCCTGGCCCTGAATGCCAGCATTTCAAAATTCCTGGCCTTTGAAATGCTGTCATTCCATCTGGTGGAGACGGACAGTTTTAAAAACCTGATGGCGTTATTGGACTGCAAGAAATGCACTGTAGGCCACAAATGTTTTTTTATATGTCCCAATATTTTGGGGGCTACCCCTATTAAAAAAACAAATAAAAAACAGCTACCACCTACACCGTCATGGTCATCGCCTCCTCAACCTCCTACTCCACATCCACCTCCTCCTCCTAGAGCAGGGTGCAAAAGCAGAGCGGCCATCACCTAGACAGAATGCCTGCTACTTCCCACCACACACAGGGACCGAGCACACCAAAGCCAGCTCAAAGGAATTCCCTGGCGTGGCAGTTCTTCAGACAATGTGCTGATGACAAGACACTAGTGGTTTGCGTACTGTGCAATCAGAGCTTGAAGCGAGGCATAAACGTTATAAACCTGAGCACAACCTGCATGACCAGGCATCTACATGCAAAGCACGAGCTGTAGTGGTGTAAGCACCTCAGAAACCAAGAAAGGTCTCAGGCTCCTCCTGCTTCCTCTTCTGCTGCTGTCTTGGCCTCTTCCTCCACCTCTGGAGTGACAGTGGCACCTGCCACCCCGCAAACAGAGGATGTGGCAGCAACACCACCACGTCCACCACCATAGTCCCCAAGCATCTCCACACTGTCCCTTGGAAGCATTCAGCTGTCCATCTCCCAAACACTGGAGAGAAAGAGGAAGTACCCCCCTACCCACCCGCGATCCCTGCACTAAATGCTAGCATTTCAAAATTCCTGGCCTTTGAAATGCTGTCATTCCGTCTGGTGGAGACGGACAGTTTTAAGAAATGCACCGCAGGCTGCAAATGTTTCTTTTTTTTATGTCCCAATATTTTGGGGACTACCCCAATTAAAAACAAAAAACAAAAAAAACAAACAAAAAAACAGTGTATGCTACCTCCTCCTCCACCGCCGCTGCTTCCACCTTCACCGCCTTCCCAACCTATGGGTCACTTAGTATAAACTATGTACACAATAGCAGAGACTTGTTTGTGAAGGCCTTTTCTCCATGCATCAGGAGTTGAGCTCAGTTTGAACAATGAAAGAGAATACCCTGCAATGAAAGAAAATACCCTGCACTCCAACCCTCTCTCAAATGGATAATTCTGTTGATTCTCCTGACAGCCATGCTTTAGATTTTGATTTATGTTCTTCCAAAGCTAAAATCAAAGATTCCATCTAGTGCTATTTTATGGCTCAGCTGTATTTTTAATTGTTATGTATTTTATGTTATTTTAAGTGATTTCCCTATCCACATTTGTTTGCAGGGCACTTGTCCTACTCTTACCCCCATTTTACTTCCTTTTGCAGCCCTCTAGCCCTTTCCAGGACTTTTTTAGAGGCATTTTAGTGCCCAAAAGTGACTTCAATGGGGTTCGGGGTCAAGTAAGATCCCGAACGCAAACTTTTTGGTGAAGTTCGGCTGAACTCAGCGAACCCGAACATCCTGGTGTCCCCTCAACTCTAAAGAACAACCATCTTATTACCTTCAATGGTTATAATATAATTAACCCAGCTAAAGGAAAGGAGTATTTATGCTGACAAGCATGTGGATTAGGTCTGGTTATCCTTGCATCATGACTAAGAGATTGGGTATGTTTTTGTGATCCTGTGACCACTTGAACAGAATGGCATTGGTAGACACATTGCATCAAAGTGCCTGTTAATGACCAACTATGTGAGGAGAGGGACCAAGCTTTGTTATAAGCATGTCCATACATGTATGCCAGGCTTTCAATTTGTTTTCACAAAGCAATATCTTATTATTATGTTATTTATATAGCGCCAACAAATTCTGCAGCGCTTTACAGTGAGTGGACGAACAAACATGTAGTTGTAACCAGACAAGTTGGACATACAGGGACAGAGGGGTTGAGGGCCCTGCTCAATGAGCGTACGTGCTAGAGGGAGTGGGGTATAGTGACACAAAAGGTAAGGATAGTATTAGACTAATGACAGTTGCTAGAGAGGAATCAATCTGGAGCTATTAACAGTTTAATTGATATACTTTTATGAAGACATGGGTTTTTAATGATTTTTTGAAGTAGTGGAGACTGGGTGAGCATCTAACGGAGGAGGGAAGTGAGTTCCACAGGAACGGTGCAGCCTTTCGAGAAGTCTTGAAGGTGAGCTTCAGAGGTGGGAGTAAGGACAGAAGATAGACGTAAGTCTTCAGCAGGCCTAGACGAGACATACTTGTGTATTAGGGAGAATAGATAGGTGGGAGCACCATTATGTAGAGATTTGAAAGTAAGAACCAGAATTTTAAATTGAGCCCTATATCTTACAGGAAGCTAATGTAGGGACTGACAGAAGGGTGAGGCATGGGAGGTGCGGGCGGACAGGAAGAAGAGCTTTGCCGCCGCATTCATTATGGACTGTAACTGCGCAAGTTGGGAGCACGTAAGACCAATGAGAAGCGGATTACAGTAGTCAAGGTGAGAAAGGACAGTGGAATGGACCAACACCTTAGTCGCATCTGGCGTTAAGTAGGGTTGGATGTGCGCAATGTTTTTGAGATGGAAACGACAGGATTTGGCGATAGACTTAACATGAGGCATGAAGGAGAGGCCGGAGTCAAAGAGAACACCTAGGTAGCGAGCCTGCATGGTGGAGCTGATGGTAGCACTGTTGACTTGGAGGGAGACATACACAGGAGTAGCAACACTTGAGGGAGGAAAGACCAGAATTTCATATTTGGTCAAGTTGAGTTTAAGGAAGTGGGCAGCCATTCAGTTAGAAATAGCAGAGAGGCAGACACTAGTCAAGAGAAATGGGGAGAGGTCAGGAGAGGACAGGTAGAGCAATATCTTGTAGACCGATATTACGGAGGACTGGAGCAGAGCAGAAACCTCTTCCACTTTAGCCGGTGAGAGTGAACATAGAACAGCAGAGGGAGTGAGGTTAGGGGAGGTATTGTAAAAAAAAGTCTGAGGCGGTCAAGTTAGAAGGTGGAGGAAGAACAATAGGGTGTAGAGAGTTAAATGTGTGAAATAGTCATTTGGGTTCGCGGGAGAGTGTGGTTATGAGGGTATTGAAGTAATTTACGTTTGCAGAGGAAAGAGCCAAGCTGTATTAGTGCAGCATAAATATACAGTTGTGGTTATATACTCAAAACTTATCGTAAAAAAAAACAGTTTAAAAACCAGTCTGAGACTTAAGAGATCAATGAATAGTGCACCAAGATAGATAAATGAAATATTTTGCAATTAATCTACTTTCTTTAAATTACTTTATTTCCTGTATTAACAATGGAATTTTAAAGTAAAGCAATCTGCATCTAAAAGAGATTTTTTTTTTAGTGTGAGACAAATAGAACAGCTTTTTAAAACGGAAAAGAGTGTTTACACAAAATGACCTTGCACTGAAAA